AAAGAAATGCACACCCTAAGTTTCAGTATCCTCTTTTCGAATTCTTAAGACACCTCTTGGGGGCCCTTTTGTATGCACAAGGGTTAAGTACAACCATATCCAGTGAGATCTTCCCATGCAATATCTTGACAATGCAATGCTATCTTGAATCTTGCAGTGCCGCTGTTCCCTCTTTCTTCTTTTTGTCAACAATACTTGGAGGAGCGAGTCTGGTGTTCACAAGTTTGATTTATCTGCGAGCTGCCATTTCAGGAGAGACATGGAAACCGTGTCTAGCTGATGAGAAGCCTGATATTTCAGCCAACAAGCAGAGTGATCCACCCAAGCAGCCACCCCCTCGAGGGCCACGCTCTAAGAGCATTGACAATTTGGCTGTTGAACCTGATGAACAAGATCCCAGTAGGGTGTAATTAAATAAACTAATAACATCTGAATAGAATGCATATAACTACATGCACATAAACAACATTACCATAAATTTATAGCTGCTGCAAATGCCCAGTGTTTTTATTCTTAACTCAATAATAAATATAAAATGTGATTTGCAGCTGTCAAATCAGCACCAAACGTAAACTTTCTTTTCAATAATAACAGTTTATGCTCTCCATTTGCAAGTAAAGAATACTGGAAATGCTAAGAACAGGACAAAATTAGCTATTATTTGCAGAATTGTTATGGTAAAAGTTACTTGCTGCATATATCAGTGAGTCTTAGGAACAAGTTCCAGCTAATAAGATAGCGGCAGTCTGGTATAGGTACGAGGGAGTCAAATGCTGCATCATCCAAAAGGTATACAGTATCCAGAAACAAGTAAATTTTTTCTCAATCCAGAACTGAAAATCCAGGAATTCATACAAGAATAAGAGAACTTCGTAGTTCTTTTCAACACTTTTGACTGTTTTTTAAATGATATAGGGGGAATGTGATGTCTTTGTTTATATTTTGCCTCATTAGCATACGACGCATCATGCTAGATATGAATACCCTCCATCACAGACAGCTCAGAGGGTTAGATGTCTGGCTGCAATGCAGGGTAGATACGAATAATTTTGGCTTGCAGAACTCAGCAATTTTTGAAAGTTTTAATGCTTTGAGTATAATATGCTTGAAAAAATGCAAAACCAAACTGCAAACTTTCTGGGTGGCAAAAGTGCTAATGAGCCCATACATAACATCTTTACGACAACTTGAGTTCTGTGCCACACCAAAACTGGTTAATACACTTGCTGAGCTCAAATTTCTTGGGGCAGTTAATCATTCTGAGTTGATATTTTGTAGCAATCAAGCAAGAAATTCTGTTAATGAGGCAAGTATTGTCAGGAAAGATTCTTATATTTTTTATTCCAGAAGGATTTTTTTTTTTATTACAGCCTGGATAAATGTTAACTCTGCACCACTAATTGCACATACATTATTTAATAGTACATAAAATTAATGCAGTTGTGCACTCGTGTATGGCTATGTATATTACATGGTGTATCATGTTTGTGGCAATGAAATTGTTGTAAAAATTACGTAGAACTTGAAAGTTCATAACTATTTCAGTAAACAATTTAGAAATCTTGAAGATTTGCAATAAAATAGAAAGCAAAAATGCGTTAATTGTTAGTCGTACTGAATCTACACTTTGGCCAAAGACCACCAACCACACCACAGAGGGTGACGTGATGATTATGCAATAAAGGGTCGCGTTGGAAACAATCACCTGATCACGAGCGCTTTCCAATCGATGAAGATTTGGTTTGAATTTCCAGAAATTTCCGCTGACGAATGGAACAACGTTTTCTGAATTACAAGAAAAGAGGACAACCTCGCGAGGTGTACCCAAATTTTCGGGAATTTCTGTTCTATTCCATTTTCCTATTTTCGGTTGAATGGTTCGCTTTTCGGAAATTCAACAATTCCGGATTTTCTGGGAATTTTCCCGGGAAATTTCTGTACAATTTGTCTCCGTTTCAAATTTTTGGAATTTTTGGTTAAATGGAAAGCCCCACGCTAGTACAATCTCGAGCGGCACCAAAATGATACTTTAAAAAACCACTTTAATATTTACAGCAGCGCCCGACTTACAAAGAATCAGAGTATTACATGTAACAACAACAAGTTGTTTCAAAAATGGTAAAATT